TATTCTTTGCCAGTGTTAAAAATATACGGCGGTTTTTTGAGCGACTCCCGTAGGGCCAAAATTGACCATGATATTTAATTTCAAAATTTTCAGTTTTGATGTCATTTTCAAGTTGCCTTGAGAGATCTGTTAATCAAGTTGTAGGATTTAAGTTCAAATAAACTACAGAAAAGAGTGTGCATAATTTAATAGATTGCACAGAGAAGTTAAGTGGTGTCCACATCAACTTTATATATATATATATATATATATGCAGTGCAGAATTTTATGAAAAATGTTTCAACATTCTCAGAGTTCTGAAAAATAAAATCGAACATACTATATAATTCTTTTATTTGTCCCCTTCCCCAAATAGCTCCCGAAAGTCATTTATCAGAATTCAATCCATTATTGAACCGTCTCATCACAAAGCAATTTGCCCAAAGTGTCCCACAAACAGGTTTTTTCCGTTATTACACTTGCGAAGGGAGGTAAGGTACATACTAGACATGGGAAAAACAGCTCTTGCAGGACTAAATCAGAACAGCCATCTTGTTTAAATTTAAGCTTTTTGCAATCTGAAATGTCTCTTCTGCTCTTAACAAACGATTCAAACTTTCTATTTTCATCTTCAAAGAAATATATTTTCTTGCTTTCAGACATAGTTTAGGACTGAAATATTATTTCACAGTCATTATTACTAAAAACGAGAGAGCTAATCAGTAATACACACAAATTATATTTAGCTTGTAGGGTTTATATTTATTTTAACTAACATTTATTTTAAGCTATCTTTCCTGTCAAGCCTTTACTTATTCCTAGAATTGCCAATGCCAGAGTATGTAAATTGTAGTAGAACGCGCAGTATATTCAAATTTTAGCAGAAGTAAGTTGAGTTTAAATAGAAGGGAAACGAGATTGTAGGTGTGCTTCTTGAATCGCGAACGGGAAGGTTGCTAGGTAGAAATTTAAGAACCGCGCGTTTCGGCCTGTGTGCCTATCTCGGCAGTTCGTTGAATCTTTCAACTGCTTAATCAGTAAGCTCGCTGAATCTCAGCTGTATTTTAGAACGCGCTTAAGTTAGTTACGATTTCAGAACCTCGTAGGTAGTGATCTGGTTGTTTATTCATCCTGTCATTAATTTTTAGTTTCACAGTTCTGTTTTGGTTAAACCGCTGGGTCGGCGTAGTTTGTGAGCGTCAAGTGAACGTAGCTGTTATTTCTAAAGTGGAATAAAAAGGGATTTAAACCCTTCTTACGAGTTTGTGTAATTTACAGTTCATAGCAGTCACTACCATAGTTGCTGACAAGTTGGGGCCACGCAACACTACAAGCTCAAAGGGGTAATTTGCTCAGAAAGGCTATTAATTTCGTTTTGGCATTTTGTGTCGTTTCACTGTAAAACAGCGTTTCACTTTTAAAATCGATGCCACCCAATATTAGAGCCCTGCATTACATTTAAAGAAATTAAATAATGGAGAATATTTATGAAAGTAGGTATATTTCTCGCACTACGAAAAAACAAAGGTATCTAGAGATATCCAATTTTGAATAACGTAGTCCTCCATTCGAATATGGACATCTGGAATCAACCCAGAATTTGGAATTTGTTTCATTATTGATTTCATAATTTGTAAAACGTTAACGAATTTTTTATTGAAAAACTCAACGATTTCAAAGCAAGCAATTGGCAACACTGTACAGGAGCGGGGGGGGATGTTTACCTCCAGCGCACATGACTGTGTAACGGAAATTCTAAAGATATGCTCTTTTTAAATTATTTTGTGGCATTGCTGTTGAAATGAATTTTATGGTTTCAGCGCGAAGAACATGATGTTTAATAAATAAAGGTAACACAAGAAACGTTAAAAAAGCGCCCCGTTGTCCGCAATATAAAATCTGAAATCTGTCAGATTTTTTTAATTTTTTTCCCATCATTAAAATTATGCAATTTACGCAGTCTACCAACTCAACACTAGCAGCACGGAATACATACTGCATAAAAGATAACCCCAAAACAATTTCGAAGTGGGAGAACGAGGGTACTACCGGAATTTATTTTACTTCTGTGTGTATAAATAAATAGGTTGTTTTAAAATTCGTAACAAAGCAACCTTGAGTTTGGTGAAAATTTAAATCAAGATCTCAATTGATTTGACCAAGGTAAACGGTGACAGGTCCCTCCACATCAGGAGCAAGGAAAGCTGAAGACTGGAAAACAGTGGACATAACAGTCGTATTTATACTTCACAGTACTGTGGAGTATAAATACGACCCTTACGCCTATTTCTTTCCAGTCTTGCAGACTTCTTTGCTCCTGATGAAGCGGGACCTGGACCTGTTTACCCACGAAATGGACTGAGCTCTTGACTTAAATCTAGGCCAAACTCAAGGTTGTTATGTTACGAATTTAATGTTTCACTTGGTGTGATGGGATAATCTCTTCTGCATGCAAACAGGTTGCTTATTACAATATGTGCTACATACGATAACATAGTGCGTTAATTAAGATACAATAACACGCCGAACAAATATTAATTCAGAAGTCAAACAAACAAATATCAGCGTTATATTTTCAAACTCTCACAGGACTCGTTTCGATGGTTTTACCGAACCATCATCCTCAGCTGCAAAAGCGCATTTCTAAATTAATAGTGCGTTAACTTAATTTTGTAAATGTTTAGAATAAAAATCGTGTTATCGAAATATGTGCATATATGAAGCGTTGTAAGAGGGTTTTTTACGCATATTCAGTAGCGTACTAGAATGAAACTGTGTTGTCGTGCTGGTGTCGACGGTCTCCGCAACTTTTCGTTAGAGCGAAACAACGTTAAAGCGAGACCGTGCTATAAAAGGGGCGCATGTACTGATAAACATTTCATTTTTAACCAATTGCCTCACTGACCATCTGATATATTATAATCTCGAACAGTTTGTAATTATAACTGCCGGTTGGCATTTTTAACCGCTCCCAAAAGTTCTGGCCTCTTAAAATAACAATATCATTTTAATAAAAAAAACCCTTGCTCTATTTAAGTTGCATGCTCGCGCATCCCCCCCCCTCCCAATACCGCCGACAACTTAACTCAACAAACGGCGTGAATGCGAGCTTGGAACAAAAGAGCGTAAGTGTTAAAGGAAAGAAAAGAAATTGAGAAGCCAATGCGAGGGCACGATCATCAACGCACGAAACTCCTCTATCGCCGATGGAACGTTCAGCTCATACAAATGATCCCAATTAAAAGGATACCAAAGCAAAAGATGTCCTCATTTCCAGAAGATTCTAAGCGGGGACATCTCCTTGACGGTACGACTTTTACTCGAGTTCCGCGAAATACAGTCGTTCTGAAGATAGTAGAAGACGGTTGGGGAAGGGGGAGGAAGACGAGCTAACAAGGGAAAGGGTGCCTTGGCCCTGATCATGATACCGAAAAGAAAAGAGCTCGTTTCTGAAAGCATTGACCTCAAAATGTTGCCTCGAATGAAAAAGGTACAAATCACCGGATAATGTTTCCCATCTTTTTATTTGTTTACGAATTAGTTTGTTTGGTTTTGTGGCAGCTGGTAAGGAGGCCGCGAACACTGACCTAAGACAGTGATCTCGAATTACCTGAGAGCTGAATTCTGTCTCAAATTCAGAAGCTGCTCTCGGCAAGAAATTCGTAATGGTTAGACTTTGGTATTCAAACGCATTGACTGCTAAATACTAAAATTTTTGACTGGCATTTACAGTAGGTGCCGGTTAATGTAGTCGCAGTTAATCTATTCGGATATTGTTATCGATTTTCCGGCCGTTTCTATATGAAAATATTCAAAATAAATGGCTTATTTTACATTGCTTATACGTGATATATAGTATGGTATATTTACTTTACTTATACAGGATCAGCAATTCGGTTAATAGGATCAAACAATTACAGAATAAATTTTTTTAATTAAAGTCGCCAAGAGAATAAATTCGCCATACAAGATCAAAACAGATTATAAAATTTGCCAAGTGATAGAGAAATGTCGCCAAATGAGAAATCAAGTCTCCAAACACTTTGGTTTCGATTTCAGTAATCATTTAAAATTAGGCAAAAATCTTACGTAGACATAACATGATTTCCTTGCACACCTATTAAATTATAAACGTTTATTGCTGCACTTCATTTACACTTATTTCATTTGAAAGTGAGCTAGGCTTTTCCCATTGAAAGATCCCTTTGGGCATTGCCGATTGCAAGAAAAAATGGAGATGCATAACTACATGTTATATTAATTAATTTTCTGCCTCCTTTTCCCGTGCCTTCATGGTGTAATTGGGAGCTTACTCGACGCGTATTCGAGAGGTCCAGGGTTCGAGTGCCGGCTGTATATTTTGCAGGTCTGCTGCTTCAAAATAACCTAATGACTCTACGAATGGCGCCCGAACTAAAAAAGGGTGGACGACAATTCGTAACCACTAGGATTTGGCGACTGGGTCTTGTAACCCCCAGTCACCCTTTAAAAAGTGGAGTATACAAAGTATTTTCTGCCTCCTTTCCGCATGCCTTCGTGGTGTAATTGGTTAGCATACTCGAGAAGTCCAGGATTCTAAAGATATGCTCATTTTAAAATTATTCTGCGATATTGCTGATGAACTGAATGTTATGATTTAAGTTCGAAGAACATGATATTTGATAAATAGAACATGATATTTTATAAATAAAGGTAACCCATAAAACGTTTTAAAAAAGCCTCTTTGGACGTAATGTAAAATGTGAAAGCTTTCGCATTATTATTATTATTTTATGTTAAATTAGTTGAATTTTACTACTATTTTGCAGGCAATTGTTTCCTCACCATTTAGTGTTATCATCCTGTTAATGTTATCAAAATAGCGGTGGACAAATGTAATCACAATTAAGCGGCGCCTACTGTACACAAAGAAAGGATGCTTATTTATATAACTACCCCGCAAACGCATCGATTATCAAATGCGTTACGTAACATACCACTTAACACCCAAATCTACAAACTGCAGACGAAGATGCACTTACCTGCATATGTTCGTTTTCAGCCGCATCATTCAGGGGGCTCTTTCCGTGTTTGTCCAAGAGGATGCGTCCTCCATGCTTCAGTAGCCACCGCAGAGTTTCTAGGTGACCACGACTGGCTGCGAAGTGAACCGGAGTCGCCCCGTCGTTGTCCCGAAGATTCGGATCTATACCTTGTTCCTCCACCTGCGGATAATTCGGAAACAGTTACTACATGTCAGGGTTAACGAGACAATGCGACATTATCATGGCTAACAAGACGGAGCGATATCGCTAAACCACATTTCAAGGCTTTTTCCCGTTCTGGCACGTAAACTGCTTTGTGTTCAAGAAGTTTCTGTACCAGGGTGCTAACTAGATGGAGCCAGTGGCGTAGCTAGATGGAGGCGGAGGGTGCGGTCCACCCCGAGAGGTAGATTTTTAAGGGCGGCACGTTTTGCTACAGCGGTTAGTCAAACGGATAGTGAGATAGGTAAATAATAATTAGATTCTAAATTATCAAGCGGAATTAAATTGAATTATGAAATTTTACTCTAGATCAGCTCTAGATCATAAAACTCTAGATCAGCGGTTCTCAACCTTTTGATTAACGCGTACAATCTAAACAAAAATTGAAAACCTTTAGTACCACAACTACATTTTACAATGGTTATTTTTCAACTTCTCAATAGAAATATTTAAAAAAAATATATTTTGCCCTTTGCACAACTTGTTTTCTATTTGTATTAAATACGCACACATAAAATTTTAGATTAAAAATTGGTTAAAATTTTAAATAATCAAAATTAAAGTTATCTTCAATTCCAAAATTTATTGTGAAATTTGGGCCTTTTCAAGAAAGATCAAATTGTTTACATCTCGTCATATTTCACTTAATTTTAGCCGTAAATTAAGATCCCCTTTTAATTTTGTTCTGTATTTGTTTTTCAAATATAACATGGAAGAAGATATTTATTCGCACAAATAGGTTGTGCAAAAAGGGAATAAAAATATAATAGCTTTATTTGAAATGCCTTTAAATTCTTTTTTTTCGGTTGAAATCTTCAGTCAGAGAGAGTTCGATCAAAGAAAATTTCTATCGGTTGTTCTTTTTCTTCGCGAGATTTTTGAATTAATTAGTTAAAATTACTTTTTTGTTTCTTTTGGGTACCACCTGTTGAGAATCGCTGCTCTAGATAAAGTATTCAGAGAAATCACTATGTAATTTCAAAAGCTAGTTACGTATGTTATACCTTTTTTTATTCCGTCCCAGCTTTTGAATGCAAATTAAGAATATGAAATAAATTATGATCACAGTGACATCCGTAAGGAAGAACTGCTCGTTAAGAGAGAAGTGTTTCAAGAGTTTGTTGTTATTGCCTAACATATAGTCAGCCCAAGGCCCAGGAAATGTTTCGTGGCAAGGAGCGCAAGATTACGCGTTGTCGTTGGCAACAGTCTTGAGCACTTTACAGGTGACAGTGCGATTTAGCTCAGTTCCGCTCCCAATTTTGTCGGAGGGCACCTGGAGAGACGGGTCCGACCAATTGTGGTCAATGTTATCTCTACATATAATAAAACAAAGAGTCTGTCTGTGTGTGTGTCTTTCGTTCGCGCTGCGCGTAAGCTAATAGACCCACGGCTACGAAATTTGGTACAAAAGTGCATCTAGACAAGAGCCAGTGCATTTCGAAGCGATTTTTCCGAAATTCAAATTAGAATTTTTTAAATTTTATGTTTAATGTTAAATAATTAATTCCTATAAAACTTATTTTAAAGTATTTAAGTAGAATATTTAATTCTTTTAAACGTTGGTATGATGTTTTTAATTCGATATTCAATTTAAGTAATATTTTAAAATCCAATTAAATGTTGACGCAATGTTTTTATAGCGGTGTTTTTATTCTATTATATGAAAGTAATAATTTAACCTTACTTTAGCAGTTTATACTCTTAGTAAATGTATTTATTTACCAGCCATCTTAAAAAAAAAACGTTTTCAATAAAAAATTAATCCATTATTTTTAACGATATTTATTTTTTTTTTTAAGTTTCGAATACTTTACTATATGCGTAAAATACGTAAAAACAGCATTTTTCAAGATCGCTGATGACTGTAAAAACCGCGCCAACAATTGCGTCAATGTAAATCGCCAAAAATCCGTGCAACAGTCTACCAAAGTAGCACCCAATTTTTTTCTCTTGAAAATATAACATAAAATATCATTAATTATACTTTGCTTTTCAGAATTTTTTTTTGTATTCTTTTATATTATTTATTGGTCATTTCACTGTCTTTAAGATATTGAAAAGTTTTGAGTGATTTTTTTTAGGAAACAAAGTTCTTAACCTCCTTTATACCATTCGAGTTCTTAAGATTTTGCAAAGGGAAGTTGGTTAATTTATTTATTACGATAATTAATATTTGTATTAAGGGATATTGCTTATTTCATTGTAATTTTGTTATACGTAATAACATTTTTTTATGAAGTTTTTCTGCAGAGTAAAATTCTATGCAGTTTTTAAATTTAACGTTTGGTGTTCCCTTCCGCCATTTTTGCGGTACATTTAAAAGCCAGACGAAGGCTGGCAGCGAAGCTGCTAGTTGTTAATATATTGTTGAATATTAATGTATAAATTATACTGATCATTCGAAACACAAAAAATTCAAAATTTCGCAAGAAATGTTACAAAACGAGTAATTTCTTGGTCAGTTTCTTACTAAAGCTCAACAAAGATATCTACCGTCGGAATAACTTAATTCGTTTGGTCTATATTAAGACCTTAGATCATATGGCATCTCGATAGATAGTAAACACTACTTAGATAAACATAATACTGAACATTCCACAACTGTTTTAAGATGCGTTGTTTCAAGAGAATTCTCTTACCATCCATTTGACGCATTTGAGAACTCCCATCTGAGCCGCGGCATGGATGGGGGCCATTCCGTCCTTCGCCCTCAAGTAAAGGGATCCTCCTGCTACCAGAACGAGATACTTAAGCACGTCCAGGTGTCCCTCTTGAGCTGCCAAGTATACCGGAGTGACACTGTTTTCCATCTGCGTGTTGGCACTGCAAAAAAAGAGGTGATTTTCGGTTATATGTACGTCTTCTTCACAATCTAGTTTCACATATTGTATTTTCTGAAATATTCCCACCCCTTTTTTAACTGTTTTAATTGTCTGAAAATAGAGAGGGGAAAATTATGCGAGTAGTTTAATGTCCGAAGAACGAGGTTGCAGTTAGAACATAACAAATAAAAAGGAGCCACTAACCATAACAATATAATTTCTTTCAAAGAAACCTACATTCCTATAAGAATACATAGTAATATTAACGTTACAATACATGAAAAATATTGAGCCTAAACCTTGCGGTAATCGAACCAGCTCAATTAACTTCCAAGTAACCTCATATGCATGAGTCTTGACTTCAGTTCTTTGGAGATACACGGGGAGGGCGTAAACAAAAGATCCGTATTTCGGAAGACCGATCATATCAGCAGTAGTAAGGTGGAACGTAAATAAAAGAAGTTGGAACGTAAATAACAGAAGCAAGGTGAAACCACGTTTGGAAAGTTTCTGAAGTGTGAAAACACCTACCACGTCCAGGTATTTTAAAGAAGAATCTGCGCAAAATATATTTAAATTAATAAATGCGAGGGAAAATAAAATGGGTGAAATGCTCATACAAATTTGCAAATGCCAACTGAACTCAATAAAAATAATCAAGGTAATACAATTTATAAATAAAACTAGCCCTTCGAGGGATACAGTATGTACAGTAGAAGATGGGGAAAATAAATGCGAATATTTATAAAATTAGAGATAAAACGTCTGAGGGTATACGCGAGAGGTAAAAATGTGCAAGGAAATACGGTATTAAGTTTAATGTTGAATGGCGATTTGCAAAGAAACGAAATAAATGACAATCTGGAGACGGTGTTAAAAAATAAATAATAGTGGATGTTTTCATGGACTCGTTTATTTTTCAGAAGCATGGAAAATGAGGGGGGGGGAAATCTGCAGAATTATTATTATTATTTCGCTTCTGGAGAAGAACAAAATCTACTAAGGTAGATTAAGGTGGCCTTTTTTTTTCTTTTGCTTAGTTTTAATTGGTTGATTGAAATCGACACTAATATGTTTAGTGACTTAGTTCCTTACTTGGCGACATTTCTTTACCACTTGGCAATTTTTACTTATTTGACTTTATCTGGAAAATTTATCTTTTACCTGGCGGATCAATTTATCTTTTATTTATTTCATTCTATAATATTTTGATCATATTAACCGAAATGTTGATCACAATAAGTGAAGTATTTTGCATCTTTTCGTACACAAACTGGCGAGGCTTTGTCACTTGGATAATAATATTCGAACGATAAATATTAACTGTGATATCCGAACGATAACATTAAGTGGCGATTATTGTATCCTCCCTCATTCTGTGTGTATTATGTTATTGCGCAACCATAAGCAAAAATCTTACGAATGTATATTGTTTTGTTAATAATTACTATCATTTGTAAAAAGAAATCTTACGAAAGAAAATTTCTTTTGGTTTGGAATAAATAATTTACTCTATTTTCTGTACAACTGACAAATTTCTTTTTTTCTTCTTCAATTTCAATCCATAAAACTTTTGTATTAGATCAGATATATATAAAGCCATTCATGGTCGATTTAAAACGAAGCAATTGTCTGCCTGCAATTTAGAAGCAAAAACATCACATCATTTTCTTTTCATACGCATTAGATTATGCATAAAAAAAATCTGATAAAAGTTACCATAAAAAAAATTCCCTCAGAAAATAAATGAGGAAAAATAATGCGGTAGCGAGAACTTGACATTATTTTGAAAACTAAAAGAAGTACGGGAAGTAGCGCCCCCTGCCGGGAGAAAGGAAAAAAACAAGCGTGCTTATTCTAGCAACGCGAGTCTTGACTGGTTGCGCAAATGGATGATGAAGTAGATCTTTGCGGCACGCGTCGGTAAGCTGGTTCGTCAAGAAACTGGAACGTACGTACGAGCTTGATTGTAGCTAATTTAAACAGCTTCTTTAAAATTCTTTTTTTGCTCTGAAAACAATTTATTTATCATTAACGAATGGCTCAGGCTGAAACGTGAATAAAACAAAAAGAAAAGTGTATTAAAACTAATGGATCGTCTATTACAATTCATTTAACTCAGAAAGGGGTGGAGGCTAGAAAAACAAAACAAAAAACAATCAAATTTTTTCGATGAAATTTTTACGTAAAAAACGATTAATGCAAAAGGAAAAAAAAATCTGAAAGGATTCAGATTTTAACGTCACACCAGAGGATTTGTTAAGGTTTTTAATGCTCTCGCTGAGTATCATAGGCTACCAATCTGCTCTGAGACTCACTTCTCGTAACACAATTTTTACCAATCCGTAGTTTACCAGTTTACTATTGCTGCTGTTGCATTCACACACACCTGTTAACACATTTTTTTTTTTTTTTTTTTGTCTTTTTAGCTTTGTTATTAAAAACTGCTTTCTTCACCCTTACGCTATACACCATTCAACAGCAAATTCGCAAAATATTTAAAAACAGTAGGCATATTTTTAGAATTCCCGATATTGTGTTAATAGTTGCCGTACATTTCTTTATATTCCTGATATTTCTTTTAAATCCAGTCGCTCGAACTAAAAGCGTTATTATAAAAAACAGGTTATAAAGATTTTAATGAGTCCGGCAAGTGTCATTTCATAATGATATTTAATATATACCAAAAACGCCGCCCAACAGGGTAATGATTATTGACTCTGACTACCCATCCCTTTATAAAACAACGATTTTTTTCATCGAACCCCCCTTCCTCCTCCTTACATTTTACTCAGCATTACACAGCAGAGGTTCACAACCAGAAGGGATTTACCCCTTGGGGGTGGGGGAGGAATTCAGTCAGCATTTTATTTAGATGTTTAATGTTTAATTCTAGCTCATGGATATTAAAAAAAAAAAAAAAAATACTCTTATTCAAGTTTTGACATTGGGCATCATTTTCTGTATTTTTTCTTGTTTCATTTATACACAACATTTTCTAATGTTATGTATATGTTACCGTGAAAGACCGAAATTGGAGAATGTCGACTTTCACCGGAGAATGTCAACATTCACCAAATACGTCGGTGAAAGACCGAATATTTCACTACATTTTTTTACATTCGGACCCTCACCGGTGTATGTCGACAATCAGATATGCTCTGGTGTAGGTCGAAAAGAAAGGAGTATATGTACACGCTGCCATTCCAAAAGGAAGTGTTCCACAAATAAATGCAGTTGTAAAAGCAAGGGCCTCTTGTGCAATTCAAAGTGTCCTAATAGTTTAAGTTGTTGCAATAAATAAGATTTGAATCACATAATTTTGGTAAGTTTTAACTTCTATTATTTTCCTTTCTCATTTTGAATGTACTGTGTGTTTTAAGTTCTTATATTCTTAAGTTCTTAATTTAAGTGCGTTTTTTTCGCGAATGAATTACGGAGAAAATATAATATTCTTATATGTTCAACATTCACCATTAGTACATGGTGAATGTTAACATTCACCGGTGAAAGTCGACATTCTCCAGATTTCGGTGTTTCACCGGAACATATAAATGAAACAAGTAATAATCTATATCTAATTTTAATAATCTATATCTATTCTATTCTAAATTCTAAATAATCTATATCTAAATAAATGTATTCATGTATTGTTATGCACATACGGATAATTTTAGTGAAAATATACGTGAAATTGTTGTATTTTTTCTGCACAGTGTAACATGGAAATCTAGGAAGAGGATGCTCTGCGGGAAAAGTAACAATACAGGGGCAAGTCTATTTAACTCAGTAAATGGCTCTCTCGTTGGCGAGATATAGGCAACTTGGCACCTAATTCTTGTCGCCAAATTTAACGACAAATCGGCAAAAGTCGACAAACGCGACATTGGCTCTGTCCTTCTATCACCGTCATACGTATTGTAATTTAATAACTGTAATTTATTTCAAATCCGCTGTAACGATATTCCACTCTCATATGCCTTCCAGTAATTTCGAGAAGGAGAAAGCACTAGAAATATCTCGGCGGCCGGGTGAAAACGTTATAAGATCGAAGGGAGCATCTGCTCGCAGTTGTTTTTAAGAGTTGTTGTTTCAGAGCGTCTTCGGAGTATTGAAGTGTGGTGTGGTGTATTTAATTATGACAAAGCACACTAGGGCCATCTGCCTAAGGGGAGGGATGCCTTCGTGGAGGACCTTTCTAAAGGAAACTGGCTCGTATACACGCTAAACATGGGGAAAACCTCGGAGTATTGAGATATCCGTGATAGCTTTGTCTTTTGGATGCGCTGTGCATTGATTTGTGTTTAACGTTCTTAGTGGTTTGAAGTATGAGCCTTATGCAGCCTGTTTGTTTTCCATTTTAGTTTTACTTTTATTGTACTATTTACTGTGTTTTCGTGTGTTCTTGCTTTTTACGTTTTTCATATTGCACTAATTGCATAAAAAATTTATATATTTAAGAAAAGTTATTGATTTTTAAAAGTATTAAATAATTTCAGTTTATTTTTCCCCTTATATTTATTTCATACGATTTCTTTCTTACTACATTATACAGTTTTATATCAATAAGCAATTATTAATTTTATTAATACTTTTTTTAATAAATGGAATCTTCGAATATACCTATACATTGGCCGGTGCGCATAATTCATAAATGCACGTCTGTATCGCCACCGAAAGTTGGATCAACTTTAAACATAATTATATATGTAAATAGCAGAAGTCTTAGCATTTTTTACTGCAAACTGTATGAAAAAGATGTTCTATAATAATATGCAACAAAGTGAACTTTCCTAATTTGCATTTAGTGTGTTAAATTTCAAACTAATTAAGAACTGTTCACTCTTAAATGTCTTGCCTGCACAAGTAATACTCTTCAAACGGAATGAATTTATCTTGTTCACAACGAATATATTTAATCTATTCACATATAATATTTAATGTTAACAATAGATATAATCAGATAATTCACAATATATATTTCGAATCTTACACTTTAAA